TTTTTGTGGACAGCAGAGACGCTGGTGTCTGTGGGATAAAAACAGAAAACTAGAGGTCTCACAGGGGCTGGGTGGCCTCTGCAGCCCCAAGCCCTGCATTAAAATGCTGTTGAATTTGTTGATTGAATGAAAGAACAACTCCCATAATTAACTCCTGGGATGGCAGCCCAGAGAAAGTCCTGAACTTGAAGAGATAATTTAGAGAAGAGGAAGAACAAAGGGGCCCTCCCCCTACAACTCGCTGTCCTTGTAAATGATACAAGGAAAACAGACATGGGTCTAGGAGAGGCTGGGGCCCCTCACTGGCAGTTCTAGAAGGAAGTAATTAAGGGAGCTGCTGTCCTGTGCACCTGACTCTATGTGTCTCTGGGGGCCACTGGGTGTCCTGAAAGCACAGACATCAGGACCACTGCGTCTCCCCCTCCCCCAGAAGAGGGGTTTTCAAGCCTCGGGTTCTCAAACTCTGCTGAAAGTGGGGGTGATTTGCCCAGTTTCTGGGGTGACCCTCTTGTCTCCTTTGAAACTTCCTCCATACCAGGGGCTGGGGTGTGAGTGCTATCTTCAGCCTTCACCGGGGAGGAAGCTACTTTCCTCCGAGTGGGTTTTCCAGCCCTTCTCCCTGCAGCATCCTGGGCTCCCCCATGCTCCTGGATTTCTAACTCAACGGCCCGGTCCGGGAGAGAGGAGCAAGGCCCTGATGGGCAGAGACCGGCTATAGGCGGCCTGGCTGCCTGGCTGCCTGCTCCTCAGGAGGCTGTGGCCCTGCAGGTGAGAAAGTGCGCCATAACAGGTCACAGGTGCAGCCCCCACCCCCTCGGAACTGGGGTGTGGGAGGAGTCAAATCTCTACTTTGTTCCTCTTCTGAAAAGGAACTGCCAAGCAAATTATTCTTTACCGCTAAAGGGTCTTAAGCCTGGTGCAGTAAATAATCCAATGCAATTGTAAATAACAAGTTTGCTTACTTGATAAACCTTTCCTTAGAGAGCGTCCCATCTAAATTTTAGCTTATCTAAATGAGGTTACTTTTTAACAAGGTCGGAGAGCTGGCCAAGCTGATTTATCTCTCGAAGGACATCCCCCAATGTCCATCTTTCCCCTTTGTCTAGCAGTTTTACAGCAAATAGTTGTGCTTGCTAACCAATGTTATCAATGTAAGATGGTTGTGTATGAAAGAAACCCTTTGTCTCTAGACAGGTGCTCAGACCTTACGGGACTACCCAGGTCTGAGACCTCATGCATGAGTAATAAAGCTGCTTCTGTCCTCACCATTCCTGAAGTACCCCTTGTTCTTCCCTTGCCTGGGTAAAAGGCTAGAAGTTATTTCTGCAACACTCCAGGCAAACACAAAGCCTCCATTTTGGATTGGGGAAAAGAGGAGCCAGACAGCATTCTCAGTCTGGGGAGGTGGTGGGGAAGGGAGGTGTTGGAGGGGAGGGGGAGCATGGGGGGGCTATGGGGCCATGAACACCTCTGGAAGAGGCCAGGCCAGCCAGTGGCCCCTGCAGGCCAGTGGTCCCAGGGCCACTGCTTTGACCTCATCTGGGAACTGGGTGGACACGCACGCCCAGGTCTCACCTTAGACCAGCAGATTCGGAGCCTCTGGAGCAGCCGTGTCCATTGGCCTGGGGTGGGGTACAGATAGCTCCCCCACTCCCCGCCAGCTACACTGTGGTGCAAATATTTAGCCCTGAGACATGTTTGAGGGAGGAATGCAGAGAGCACCCCTGCTGAGGGCGCCTGGCTCCTGGGCACAGGGACGAGCACCCCAGGGTGGGGACGTGTTGCCAAGTGCCCAAGCCTGAGACTAACACTGTGTCCAGATCCTTTCGCACCGCTGGGCTTTGGTGCATGTCTGGGGCCTCTGGACCTCTGTCAGCAGGGTGGGCACTGGACAAAGCCAGGGCCAGCTGAGGGTCAGTGGGGGGGGGGCGCCGTGTGCCAGGGACATGGGCCCCAGGAGCACTAGGGTCCCCGAGGAGGCTTGGTGAAGAGCGTGTTCCTACCCCATTTCTCAGAAGTCGTGCAGGACAGTGAGGCCGAGTCCACACTTCCCTGGCCGGGCCTTAATCTGGCTTGGTAGTGGACACTCGCTTCATGAGAAAACATACACGCATGCACACGCACACACGTTACACAGGCACACGCTCATCATGCACCTATACACACACATACGTACATGCGTGACACACTCCCCATGGGCACGCGAACCACACATGCACATCCACACAGATATATGTAAATGTGCACACAGGAGACACACTTGTGCACTCACATTCTCGTAGCAATCCAGTGACATTTCAGCAGAGTCTGAGGCAGTAGCACCAAGTAGAGAGGGTGCTGCCCCCATTTCTGTGCCGGTGTGGGTCTAGGGCCAGGCTTGCAGGCTAAGGAGAAACCCAGATTATAGCTGCACCAAGACCAGTCTAAAGCAGGGTGACTGCAGGGCACAGGAGGTACAAAGACCCCCCACCTACCCCCCACCCACCCCAGTCTGCCCTCCTGACACCTGAGGCTGTCTCACCTTTGTCCAGACAGCAAAGACCAATTTAAGATGCAAGTACAATCGTATTCCACCTTGGCAGCCCAGCTCATGGGGTGAAATCCTTGAGAGAAAGTTGAAGGGTGTGAGTACTGGGTTGGGGCGTGGAGGGCACAAAGCAGCAATGTGGAAGAGAAGGGGAAGGCCTGGCCTGGTGCCAAGCATGCGAGTTGAGTGTGCCCGGCTGCAGGCAGGCGGCGGCCACCCAAGCCGGGTCATCTGTGTGTCCTGCCGAGGACTCCGGTTGTGCCATCATCAAGCGTTTCCAGAGACGGTCACCGCTGCATTTCCAGCACCAGCAGAGCCCATAGGTGCTTGATAGTGTCGACCAGGGAGTGAATGTGGAGGTGCAGGCGGCCAGGAAGGAAACCAGGGCCCGTCATTGGAATAGTATGCAGCTATTTGAAATAACAATTATTGGAAACTTGCTAGAAGAGTAGATTTGGACGTTCTAATCACAAGAAATTGGAACTAAGTAGGTGATGACTGTTAACTCATTGGGTGATGATTTCACAAAATGTACAAATATCACATCTCTATGTTGTGCCTCCCAAACCCCATGTGGTCCGTCAATTACAGCTCAACACAACTAGAGAAAGCATAACATACCATATGGGTTGTGCAGGTTATGCAGCCACGTGGCAGCACTGGTGATACTCAGCTTAGCGCCCTGTGGGTTCCTGCGGTGTGAGGGGCGGGCCCTGAGGAAGAAGCCTTGCCAAGGGTCTGGGCTGGTGGGTGGCGTCCCCCAACGCGGGTGTCTCATAAACCCTCCTTCCTGCCACAGGATAACTCGCCTTGTTCCTGGTGCCCTGGGCCTCTTTCATCTTGTCCCACATTCTGTGGGTGTAGCTAGGCTGCACCCACATGCCCCGGAAGCAGCTAATCTTGTCTAGTAATGATTCTCGTGGCAGCTGCTACCAATCAGGTCAAATCCGCACCCTCCAAACCCACACCCTTCCCAGCCAGGCCGCCCAAGGCCCTTGCTGCAGGGCCCTGGTGATGTCGTTGCTGATGAGGAGGATGATGGGCCTGATCTTTTGAGGCCCACGTCATGCTTCTTTTTTTTTTTCAAGATTTTTATTTTTATTTATTTATGCATACAAGAGCTGGGGTGTGGGCCAGAGGTGTGGGGTGAGAGGACTCCCCAGAGACAGAGTGGGGAGAACAGGTGGATCCACTGAAATCCACTGCTGAGGGGAGCAACAGGGGAATCAGGAATGGTCTGCTGCGCCCTATGGGTCAACTGGGGATCAAACTCATGCTGCAGAGACTGGCGATCACAGACATTGGCAATACCGTCATAGTGCTGAGACTTTAACCCCTGCGCCATCAGAGAGGCCCATTTCTTGCTGTGGAACCGAATTGTTACGCGCTTGACCATTGTTTCGCCATTTTGTGTGTCTAACTGCCATTTTAGAATTTTGGGTTTAAGTTTCGCTTTCCTGGAAGATGATTCCTGGAAAATGATGCAACACTCCTAAAATGTGTCTCATGCTCTATTGACTGAGCTAGCCAGGCGCCCAATATCAAAAGTCTCAGACCATTCTGGTGTCCACTGATAAAAAAAGCAACCAATTAAGGAAACTGCGGCATCCCCGAACCATCCGCTTGAATTTTGAGTTGTGCCCATGCCAAAAATGCCTTTTAGTAGCCAATTTTTAATTGCCAACTTGTTTTAAAATTTAAGCCTGCTTGTAACCCTATAAATACCTTCCCGTATCCCCAGTTAGGGACTCTCACCATCCACCGCTGAGTCGTTGAGCGTCGTGAGTCCAGACTGGGGTCTGTATTAAACTCCCTTTTGTGCTTGCATCAGCTGTCCTTGATTTCTTGGGAGCTGCATTTGTCGTTCGCGGGCACAACACTTGCTTTTTGCTTAACTTGAACCACAGCCTCTAGTAGAGGAAGGAACAGAAATTTGGAAAGATTACGTTCTCCAGATGGCAGACAATAAGGTGCCTGCCCGAGATGTTAGGCTCCCAGAGACGTGTGTCCTTAACTTACACATCGAGATAGTGCTTTCAAGAGGCGCATGGTGCAGTAGACAATCCATCATGCATGCATGTAAATCACAGGCACTGGTCCCCTGTGGAGGCATAACAAGCTTTGCACAGGTTTGCAGCTAATGACTCTGTGCCCACTCTGCCCCCTAGCCCCAGAGTGCGTGGGAAGCTCTGTCACCCTAAACCCTGCTAAGGCCAGAAAGACCCAGGGCTGGGGCCTCCCTGGTGGTGCAGGGGTCACACTCTTAGCACTATCAAACCATCACCAGCCACCACGGCCTGAGTTTGATCCCCAGCCAGGTAGCTGACGCAGCAGACCTCTCCTGTCTCCCTGCTGCTCCCCTCAACAGTAGATCCACCTGTTCTGCTCCCCACTCTTCTCTGGGGAGTCCTCTCACCCCCCAAACTTGCACCCCAGTTCTTCTGTGCCAAAAAAGTCATACAAAATTAACATTAAAAAAATAAATTTATTTCAAGTTGAAATACTGAAGAACAAGCACACAGACAGTACAAAAAGCAAAATTTAGAGTGACTTAAGACAGACAAGAATTCTCCGGCAACACTCTGGTTTACACATAAACATTTTTAAAACATTTCTACAACATTCACAGAAAGCAAAAGCCATATTTTCCCATTTATGAATTCAACAGCTTTTGCAAACACCCAGTTTCTTTCTAAAATCACTTATTAAGATTTACATAAAAATGGTTAAACACTCCACATTCCAAAGATATAACAGACTTTTTTGACATATCACAGACAACTTAAACTCAAAACTCAAAGGTTATCAATTCATTTTGTGTTTCAACCATTATCTGATCAATTAGAAAAACACCTGAAATAAATATGCACTCACATGCTTTTCAGAAATGAATTCCAACTTTTATCTGTGCTTTATTCAAAACTTAGGAACTTAAGAGATACATGATTCTTTTAAATAATATTAACAGTAAAAAATATAAACAATTATTTGGAGGAAGGATTTTAAAACACATTTTTGGCCATAAAACCTGCAATGCGAATAAATAAGGAAGTAGGCGATCTGGTTAGTAGTTCTGCCTGAATTATCACCAATAAAATAAACAGGCTCCAGATTTGGGGCATCTCTGTGTCTAAAGTGAAAACCATAGTGTTTATCCAAGTGTTTCATGAGCTGGACTCAAGTCCCTGTAGTACAAAGATTTGGTCTACCCCACAAGAAAGCATTTGAGATTCAAAGAGGCTCTGGGAGACTGACTACGTTCATCACACGGATGAAGAAACGCTGAGCAGGGTTCCCCGGGTGGCAGAGACTGATCTAGACCCAGACTTGATCCCAGCTTCCTTCTGCTAACAGGTTCTCCCAGGTCAGGCTACATAATTCATGGCAGAAAATGTTAAATTTGCATATAAATCAATGCAGACAGAGCTCAAATCAGAATTGCTAATTTACTACAAGGATATTCAAGAGTATTCATGATTGGCTTTTTTTGGTTTAAGGGGCCCAGTATGAACCAGCTGATCTGACATCATCACCCTTCTACCCACATCAGTGGAAGTGTGGACAGACACACCCCCCCTCTGCAGACAGAGTGTGGTGGTGGGTGCAGGGACATAGCTGGTTCTCATCTCCCCACCTGAGTGCACACAAGAGCAGATCTGAGCAGCCCGCGGAAGCTCCAGAAAGAGTCCCGCCTGGGTGTCTTACTTGCAGGACAAGGTCAAGGAGTGACACTGCAGAACAGAACGAGGACAGACGGGGCAGGGGGAAGTCCTGGCCCAGTGGCATCACTGCGGATTTCAGGCTCTCAGGACATTTCCAGGCCAAAGGATGAGATTTGACCAAGATCACGAGAAAGCCAGAAACATATCAAATAGGGTTTTCTTACTAGGAAGTTATATGTTGAAAAAAAGAATAAAAAAGGCAATGGGTACAAAAGCACTCTAATTTCAGTCACAGTGAAAAAATACCACGACAGGCCACATGGCAAACTGGGACATGCTACTATGCCTGGGCAGGACATATGTCCAAGATCAAAACTGAGGGTCCAACCTGTGCCAGGCACCACACAACAATGTGTGAGAAGTGGATGAAACTTCGAGGTCCTTGCAAGTCTCATCCCAAGGCTGTGCTGGGGTGGGGAGTGTGGCTGTCACCCAGGGGCCTGGCAGGAGGTCAGAAGACGGACCAGGGGCCAAGGAGGGATACACGTACTCGGTTCCCTGCATATTTTTATATCTAAACTATGTACTTATAGGGACTAGACTGCCTTACTGTTTTAGAAAGTGTTTTATGCTTCCATTTTCTATAAAAAAGAGAAACACTTCTGAAAAATAGGTATCAAGTAGCATACTCTCAAATAAAAAATATAAAACACAACAGGCACCAAGAGAATGGTAGTGTGTAGGTGATGGCTGCAAAATATTGCTTAAATTAACAACTAAGCCAAACAGTGTTTGCATTCAGGGCTCATCCAGTAAGTGTCCAGTAAGTGTTCAGCTCCAAGACCTTCCTGCTCCGCTTTCACACATCGGTAACATCCTCTTTCCCCTCAAATTGCCGATTCTAACTGTGTGGGTGTCAGGATGGTTTTGGATTCTTGATCTGTGGGGCTGTCGACCGGGACCTGCAGAAGAGAAGACCTAGTGCGTCGGGCATACATGATGTCACCAGATGGCAGCTCAGGAATGACCAGCTGAGCCAAAAGGGTGAAGTCACACCCTACCCCGTGTGCTTTTCTTGACAGTGTAATCACTGACACCGCCTTACTTACAGCTTTCACGTCGCCATTCGTGACTCCTATGTTCACGTTGTGTCTTCTCAGGTCAGACTTGATCAGCGCTGAAATAGAGAAGCGACACGGTCAGCGGTGAGGACACCCAGTGTGGCTCATGTTGGAAAAAGGAGGTAGAGAGGGCAGGGAGGAAGGAGCTTGGTGAAAGCACACTGGAGGCCGCGTGGGCCTGGACGCTCTGCTGGATGACACCCTGGCCCTGGAGCCCTTTCATGCCATGTGCCTGGACATCCGGGATTCCCTGGAGCCTGGTGCCGTCTCACCCCTGCCCTTGTCCTCTGGATCACACGTAATAAGCGTGAGAGCAGGCTAACAACCCCCAGCCTGGCCCCTGAGCACCCAGCTACCAGGATGGGGGGCTGCGGAGCGGGAGCCCAGAGGAGAGGCTCCATGCCATCCATAACTGCTGAGCAGAGCCCACCTCCAGGCCAGGTCCCCACTGGCTTCTGGCACATGATTTCCTGCTTCGTGACTGTGGTGATTTTGAAACCGGACACACACGCGTATCCTTGGATGAACACAAGGACGAACCTGCTTTTCATCTCATTGCCTGCTTGACTTCTCCCGCATCACTGAAAAGCCATCTATGTGAAAATTAAGCATAAAGACAAACTGACACAGAATGTGTGCAGGTAAATGCCCCAACTCACCCGTCAGGATGATGCCCACGAATATCCAGACACAGAGGAAGATGTTGCCTGCCATGGGGCAGTAGTCCACCGTGAGCTTTCCTTGAGCCAAGGTGAACAAAATCCCAAATATCTGAAGAAAATAAGAGAATGATCTTGACCGTGTTTGAGTCTTTAACATTTTATTCCAAACTTCTCTTTACTATCATGTTCACAGGCTTTGGTATCTGGAAAAATGTGTTCAAAGCAAAATTTTTTTCAACAAAAACTATGGTCACGAGGCCTCCTTAGTGGCACCAAGGAGTAAGACACAGCACTATCAAGCTATCGGCAGCCACTGTGACCTGAGTTCGATTCTGGCCAGGTAGCTAACCACAGGGTGCAGCAGACCTCTCCTGTCTCCCCGTTGCTCCCCTCAGCAGTGGATTTCAGTGGATGCACCTATTCTGCTCCCCACTCTGTCTCTGGTGAATCCTCTAACCCCCCCACACCTCTGGCCTGTACCCCAGTTCTTCTACGCATAATAAATCTATTTTTAAAAAACAAACAAACAACTATGGTCACACCCATTGCCCACAATACCGGGGTGCAAGGCAGCTGGAGGGGACCTACCTGGGCCGCAGCATTGAGAAGCCCAGACGAGGTGCCTTCAGGCTCCGGGTACGTGATCTCAACAGCAAACTCAAACCCCAAGGGGAGGTAGCCGGTCAGGAAGAAACTAGGAGATAAGCCCAGGATTATGGACAGTGTCTGAGGGGTGACGTGCCTGTCCCTCTGCAGGTGGCTGCGCCATGAACACCACATAAGTGAATGCTCTGAAGCCAGTCTAGGCAAGCGAGGCCCGGGGATCTTGCCCCAGTAGCCACGGTCACCAGTGTCGTGAAGTGAAGATCCCATTTTTCTTATTCTGAGAAAAACTGACCTCTAGTTCTCTAAGTCATTTGTTCTTCTAACCAAGTAAGACTTAGATTAAGTTAGGCTAATGCATGTTTAACACAGAGCACACCAAAACACCACTTAAAATTTATCGGGCCTCCTTGGTGGCCTAAGGGTTAAATTTCAGCACTAACATGGCTGCTGCCTGAGTTCTATCCCAGCCAGAAAACTGACCCACAGGGTGCAGCAGACCCCTCCCCTGTCTTCCTGCTGCTCCCCTCAGCAGTATATCCGCCTGTTCTGCTCCCCACTGTCTCTGGGCAATCCTCTCACCCCCATGCCTCTGGCCTATATCACAGTTCTTACATGCAAATATATATATATATAATTATTTATCATTCTGAAGAAATGCATAAATTTATATGCATAGGACAGATTCTTTAAAATTAAAAATATTAAAGCTCCTTTAGATAATTTTAAACTAAGATCAACATTACTAATTCTTCAGACTCATAGAGGCAGCCCACCTCGATCCACAATGCTTACCCCAGCACCCCTCCGGTAATAAACACGAGGAAGATGTTTCCCAGGTTCAGTGTGAAGGTGAACACGAGCATCCCCACGAAGGACAGGACATACACGGTCAGCGTGGTCTGCCTGAAAAAGGCTCACTGGACGTCAGTGCCCGTGAACCTGTGGCTCATCTGTGCGCATGACATTTCCTGGTTCCCAGAACAGCAGGGCATCACAAGGCCAGCGGACACCCCGCAAGCAGAGCCCAGTGCTTCCAGGGCACCCCAGACCGAGGGAGCAGCAAGTCCATCCCCGACCCGGGCTCCGTGACAAACCCTTCAGAGCCCGTGAACAGACCCGGAGGGCCTAGAACAGGCAACGAGCAGAGAACGGTGCCCAGGAAGATCCGCGTGGCCCACCCTCGCCCACCCACCACCCTCCCACAGCCGCTCCTATTATGTCCTTTTATAACAACCTGGTGATCTCTAGCAAATTGACTGAACCAGAGGAGGGGGTTGTGGGACCTTCTGACGGTCAGTGCGAGGGTCAGACACCCAGGGGGCCACCTGAACTTGAGGCTGCATCGGGCCAGGGAGACTCGTGGGATCCAACACCACTTCCCAGTGGCCAGCGCCCTCATGGAGCTGAGCTGCTGGACACTGGAGCTGGTCCAGGACTCGCTGGCTGGTTTGGGGAACCACAGCCTCCCCATGACACCCATGCTGCAACTGCTGATCGGACCCATCTTACCCTGTCCTGGGAGAGGCACAATTTGGTTTTCAAAATTATCAAAATTTGTATCTATGGAAAATGTTCCTAGTGAAGCATGGAGTTTAAAGCTTAAACTTGAGGGCCTCCGGGGTGGCACAAGGGATTAAGTCTCAGCACTATGAAGCTATCCGCAGTCTCTGCAGCACAAGTTCGATCCCTAGCCAGGGAGCTGATCCACAGGGCACAGCAGACCTCTCCTGTCTTGCCTGCTGCTCCCCTAAGCAGTGGATTTCAGTGGATCCGCCTGTTCTGCTCCCCACTCTGTCTCTGGTGAGTCCTCTCACCTCCCGCACCTCTGGCCTACACCCCAGCTCTTGTATGCATCAATAAACAAAATAAATCTTTTTTTTCTTTTTTAAAGCGTGACTTTCCTTTTATGGCCCAGATGCCACCCTGAGCCCCTTGCCTGGCTCCAGTGGCTGCCGCCACTTTCCCTTTGGCATCAGCTCCATGCTGGCGCCACAGAAACGCACAAGTTACGACATTTTTAGTATGACATCCCCAGTGAGCAGGCCTGTAGTTTAGGGGCAATTTAGCCAATAACTTTTTAACCAAAAAAAGCCTGATGCCCAGCAATACATTTTTGAAAGGAAAAAAAAAAATCACTTTTTTTCTGTCTTTTAACTCCCAACAAAGGAGAAGTCTGTGTCCAGCTGGATGGTCTCCAGAAAGGGCTCTTTCCAGGGCAGAAATGAGGCCCCAGCTGACTGGGGGAGGCGCGGGGTCCAGCCCAGGGTGGGCCCCACGAGGAGGGACACAGACCAGGGACACGCTGGGCAAGGAGGGCCCGGAGGGCACAGCCAAGTCTTCACACCATGGTGGCATTGTCTACATTTCTTAAAATAGAAAGCAGATTCCTCAAAACCCCAAACACATGGGCTGCATGCACACGTGTGTACAAACACACAGACACTTTCACCTACTTGTATGTTTTGGTGTAGTCCAGCCACAAGCCGCAAAGGATGGAGCCCACCATCCCGGCAACCACCAGGGTCAACCCGATCCTCCCAGCGTTCACCTCTTCTCCCTGGGGGTGTCAAGAAGGGGTTAACCAGACACTTGGGGTTCAACCCCCCAACCAACGGCCATCTCAGAATGAAGCAGACGCCACCCCAGGAAGGTTGGCACATGTCAGGCTGAGTGGGTTGAGGCAGGCAGAGCAGACAGAAGCTTCCTTTCCCAAAACCGGGAGGTGGGGGGGGGGGTGTACCAGGAAATGGGAGAAGAATCAAAAGCCAAAAATTTCCTCAATCCTCTGATTAGAAATACAATGATTTAAAAAAAACAAATTTATTTATGCATACAATAACTGGGGTACAGGCCAGAGGTGCGGAGGGTGAGAGGATTCACCAGAGACAGAGTGGGGAATGGAACAGGCAGATTGACTGAAATACACTGCTGAGGGGAGCAGCAGGGAGACAGGAGAGGTCTGCTGCGCCATGTGGGTTGCTCCCTGGCTCGCCAGGATTGAATTCATGTTGCAGAGACTGTGGACAGCTTCACAGTGCTATGCTTAACCCCTTGCACCACCAGGGAGGCCCCGAAATACAATGATTTTGATGAGGATACTTACATAATTCACAGATGACAGAAAAGGAGGTGAATCACACTTTTCCACATTACAAGTGCTTCCTCCTTTCAAAAGAGTCAGAGTTGGATATTTCTTCTTATATTTGTATTGGTTCCACTAATTTTTTCCCCATAGCCAGTGACACTATTTATTTAAAGGAGAATTTATTAAAAAAAAAAAAAAAAGTGGGGCCTCCCTGTGGCACAAGGTTAAGGTTAAGCACAACATTGTGAAGCTATCCACAGCCTCTGCAGCACAAGTTCGATCTCCAGCCAGCCGGGGAGGTGACCACACCGTGCAGCAGACCTCTCCTGTCTCCCTGCTGCTCCCCTCAGCAGTGTAACTCAGTGGATCTGCCTGTTCTGCTCCCCACTTTGTCTCTGGTGAATCCTCTTATCCCCCGCACCTCTGGCCTACACCCCAGTTCTTCTACGCAAAAAATAAAAAACAAATAAACTTTAAAAAAATTGTAAGACTTGGGCATTGCCAAAGCAGTGGCAGCTCTCCATTCTGTGGGTCCCCCAGATGTGAACTAAACCAGGTCCTAACTCTGGCCTCAGGCCAGGGACCCAGCCGCTTGTGACAAAGCCCGCCAGCTGCAGCACAGACGCAGACACTCACCTCATAGTCTGTCAGGATCATCTGGTTCAACAGTGTGGACACCGAGTAGAAGGCGCCAGTCATGATACCTACAAGAGAGACAGGAATGTAACCCCCGCCCCAGCCCCACATGCCATGGAACCTGCCAGACTAGGAGGAGGAGGCGCTTTCCAGGCAGTTTCACAGGCAAGTGGAAGAGCTTATCATGCCCTGGCAGGAAGCAACTTGAGGTTATGGCCACAGAAACTGGCCACCCACCCGCATGGCTGTTCAGATCAGATGCATGGACTGGACACGTCACCCCATCCAGCGTGCTGGAGCCCAGGGCAGGAGACGGCCCCAGGCCTCACCCTTGCACACAGGGTGGCGGTAAGACAGTATTCACCACAGGACAGGCAGCAAAAGAACACCTACGGCTGGTTGTCAGGAAGTACATGACTTGTCAGAACCCCATGTTTCCTCTATAAATTATTTCTCTCCAGGGCCTCCCTGGTGGTGGAAGGGGTTACACAGCACTATCACCTCTACACCTGAGTTCGATCCCCAGCCAGGGAGCTGACCCACGTGGCGCAGCAGACCTCTCCTGTCTCTCTGTTGCTCCCCTCAGCAGTGTAGTTCAGTAGATTTGCCTGTTCTTATCCCCACTCTCTCTGGTGAATCCTCTCACCCCCCTGTACCTCTGGCCTATACCCCAGTTCTTGTATGCATAAATACATAAATCTTAAAAATAATTTCTCTCTGCTTAATAAATTATTAAGCATTTCAAGCATGCGAAACTGTAGAGAATTATTTGATAAACACCTGTATTTACCAGTCAGCTTTGTCAGATATTAAAGATTTTGCCATCTTTGATACAGATTCATTTTTTAGATGTTTCAATTTTATTCTCATCTATTTTTCTCAGAAGTAACCCCTACTCTGATCTTCGTGCTTAGCACTTTATAACTACAGCCACTAACAATTACAACTATTCAGCATGTATTTCAGTTTTATATAATTATTTGTATCTCTCTGAAATTTGTTTTTGTTTTAGAATATTACCGTTTTCAGATAGCTCTGTGTTGATACTTTCAGTTCTAGTTAGCTTTCTCTGCTGCATAATATTCCATGGTGTGGTTATGTTTTGATACAGATATAAATATATATTTATACACACACTTCACTTTAATTCTCTTTCTCTTTCTCTCTCTTTGGTGTAGAAGAACTGGTATGTAGACCAGAGGGTGGGAGCGAGAGGATTCACCAGACACAGAGTGGGGCGCAGAACAGGCAGATCCACTGAAATATACCGCTGAGGGGAGCAACAAGAAGACAGGAGAGGTCTGCTGCGCCACGTGGGTCAGCTCCCTGGCCGGGAATCGAACTCAGGTGTAGAGGTGATAGTGCTGAGACTTAACCCCTAGACCAGCAGGGAATCCCTCACTTTAATATCTCTTGTCCTATCAATAGATATTTCATGTTTTTCACGGTTTCCAACAACACTGCAAAGACAGTATGTTTTTGTTCCCAAGTATAATAAAGGTTTCTCTAAGTATTTACCTAATAGAAAAAGTTACTTTCTGGATAGCGCCAAACTGGTCTTCAAAATGGTTTCATCAGTTTATTCCACCAGCAGAGTCCTTTGACTCCACGTCCTTGCCAAATCTGTTTGTACAAGATAAAGAAAACAATCTTGCCAAGTGGGAAGCTCCACCGAGTGTGGCACAAGCTCTGGCTTTGGTCTGCATTTTAGAGGAGACCGGGAGGCTCAGCTCTGAGCAGGGCTCACGTCTAGGAAAACGAGAGCAGGACTGCTCAACCTTTGTCCACTGAGCTGCAGAAGTTATTTTTACATCGCGGGTGCTAAGACTTTGTTGATTCTACGCATCACAGACATTTTCTCATGGATTACATCTTGTCTTCTTAGACCACTATTTTCATGTAATCGTATTTATCAATCTTTTTCTTTAGGGTTTGTACTGTTTTTTTTATTTTTTTAAGAATTATTTATTTAGGGTCTCCCCAATGGCGCAGCGGTTGAGCGCTGGGTTGCGAAGCTGCCCGCAGCCTCTGCAGTGCCAGTTCGATCCCTGGCTGCTCCCCGGCCACCAGAGGGGGGTCCCACATGGCGCGCAGACCTCTCCTGCCGCCCACTGCTCCCCTCAGCAGTGTATTTCGTGGGTCTGCCTGCTCTGCTCCCCGCTCTGGCTCTGGTGAATTCTCTCACCCTCCCGCGCCTCTGACTGTACCCAGTGCTTATATAAATAAACAAACAAACAAATAAATAAATCTTTTTTAAAAAATATTTATTTATTTATACAAGCACTGGGTACAGTCAGAAGCACGGGAGGGTGAGAGAATTCACCAGAGCCAGAGCAGGGAACAGAACAGGCAGACCGACGAAATACACTGCTGAGGGGAGCAGCGGGCGGCAGGAGAGGACTGCGTGCCATGTGGGACCCTCACCCGGTGGCCGGGGATCGAATTGGCGCTGCAGAGGCTGTGGGCAGCTTCGCAACCCAGAGCTCAACCGCTGCGCCACCGGGGAGGCCCCCTAGGGTTTGTACTTTTTGCAGAAAGAAATTCTAAAACTACCAAAGAGGGTTTCCTACACTGGCTTCTAAAACTTGACATTCTGATTTTTACCCTTTAATCAACTGCAATTCATTGTTGTGTAAGGTCTGATGTAGCAATCTCATTTTACTTTACTTTTCCTGTATGAATAATCCAAGAGGCAAGTTCCTCTATAGCTTCTCCCCTGCCAGGTCTCCCCGTGTGAGAGCCGCTCTGGGGTGCCCAGCATTCAGCTGTGCAAGGTCACAGGAGCCACGCATTCGAGGGGGTACTAGCAGAAACGTCAGCTTGGATCTGGGTGGGCCCAACCCGATGCCAGCCACAGTGGGCATGTGGCCAAAAACAACCCTCTGCTGTGTCAGGCACCTGACGTGGGGCAGGCTTCTCTGCTGTAGCATACCCTGACCTTCGAGAAGGGACCCAGGTAGGTCCCAGGCTCTGCTGGGTTCAGGGACCGGGCTGTGCCTCTGCTGATCTGTGGCACCTTAGTCACCCCAGCTTGGAAGCCCCATCTGAGCTGGAGACAGCAGGATGCTGCCCACAGCTGGGCTAGAGATCTTGCTAGGCCTGGCTAGTGGCCTCCCTGGTGGCACAAGGGGTTAAGTCCCAGCACTATGAAGCTATCTGCAGCCACTGCAGCACGAGTTTGTACGCCGCCCAGGGAGCTACCCACATAGTGCAGCAGACCTCTCCTGTCTCCCTGCTGCTCCCCTTGGCAGTGTGTTTCAGTGGAGCCACCTGATCTGCTCCCCACATAGCACCCAGGCCTCCTTTGTCAGCCTCCCGCCCTACCCCCCAGGCCAACCCAGTCTGGGCCAGATGCACCCGGAGCCCAGTGGGAAGTGGGGTAACAGTCCAGTTAGCCAGGTGCTTTTTTAATATGTATTTTATTTATTTATGCATACAAGAGCTGGGGTACAGGCGAGAGGTGTGAGGTAGGGGTGAGAGGATTCACCAGGGACAGAATGGTGAGCAGAACAGATGGATCTACTAAAATTCAGTGCTGAGGGCGCAGCAGGGAGACAGGAGAGGACTGTTGTGCCATGTGGGTAGCTCCCTGGTCGGGGATTGAACTCGTGCTGCAGTGGCTGCAGATAGCTTCATAGTGCTGGGACTTAACCCCTGCACCACCAAGGAGGCCCTATTCTAATTTATTTATTTGTTTGTTTATTTGTTTATTTTTAAAGATTTATTCATTCATACAAGCATGGGGGTATAGGCCAGAGGTATAGGAAGGTGAGAGAATTCACCAGAGACAGAGTGGGGAGCAGAACAGGCAGACAGACCGAAGACACTGCTGAGGGGAGCAGTGGGCGAGACAGGAGAGGTATGCGAGCCGTGTGGGGATCTCCCTGGCCAGCTGGGAATCAAACCCACGCCACAGAAGCTGTAGACAGCCCCACAGTGCTGCACTCAACCCGCTGCACCACTGGGGAGGCCCCCTATTCTAATTTATAAGCTTATTTTGGTAGATTTAGTCCTTGGCATCCTATAGTTTTGGCTGCTATTACAGGAGGTACCTTTTCATAGGAAAGCAACTGGTATTCCCACACTGGCAGAGAGCTGGCAACTTTGCCCATGTCACTCCTAGTGACATGGTGCTAGGTTCTTTTGTACCTTTTTTAGAGATCAGAGGTCAGCAAACATTTTCTGGAAAGGGCCAGAGAGTGGCTATTTTTAGTTTTGCAGGTGACGTGGTCTCTGTTACAACTACTCAACTCTGCCATTGTCGTCCAAAAGCAGCCACAGGAGCACATGGATAAACAGGGCTGATCTACGATGCCAACCCTGGCCAGGTTGGGCCAGAGCTCATCGCCCGCTCACCTCTGGGTACCTCACGGCACAGCTCCCCCCACTCATTCACACACCTTCTCCTTTCTGTGTGTTATGGGCTAGGAGGGACTTGGCTGGAGGCTGAACAGGAATGACATCAGGCGTCTGTAAGGGACATTCTTAGTGACCCCAAGGGTGATGCTTCTAAGGGTCACATTTATTCTAATGATTGCGACAGTTTTCACAGAAAACTACCTCAGGTTCATAAAAGTCATTCTAGAGATTTTAATCATGAATATTCAGTTCTAGCACATGCTTTTTTCCTCAGCTATTGGGTAAATTTTCTTCTTCCAGCTAGTCCTGTGGTAAATGATAGTCATGAATGTCTAGTATCAAACCAGTTCTCACCCCTGATAGAACCCAAACATGGTCAGGATGTGTTATCGACTTTGTAAGTTTGCTGATGTTTTATTTTGGATTTCTAGATCTAGGTTCCTATGTAAAACTGGTCTTAATTTTTCTCTTACTCAATCCTTGTCTGATTTTGACGTCAAGTTTGTACCAGCTCACCAGTTAGCTGCCGAGGACAACAGCGGGCTGCCTCCAGGGAGGGGTTACGGCTAACTTGGGGAGACTGACTTCTGTTGTAGATCCTTTGTGCCTTTTGAGTTTTATGCAAATAAATTAAATAAAAAGAACTCAGATTCTTCACTTATAAAATAGGCATCATAATCTCTCTATCTCAGAAAGCTATCTCAGAAAGTTAAATGGAATTATATGAAAATCCTTTATAAATTCCAAACTAAACTGATTTTAACCTAATCACACACACACAGTCCAGTAAGTGCTAACTGCTGTGTCACAAATGGCTCTACCTGGTTGTTTCTTCTCAGATGTGTCTACACTATCACCCCCCACCTCCACCACCCCCCATAAGCCGCTAATTACTTCAGGGAGGGATCCTACAGCTCACACTTCCGTCTAGCCCAGAGCACCCAGAACACGGTTAGATATTGAGTTGGTATTTGATAATTGTTGATACAATAAAAACAACAAAATAAACAGTATGTGAGTTAAGCATTAAGCTAGCTCTGGTGGGGGCCTCCTGGTGGCCTGAGTGTTAGACCCGGCCAGGGAGTTGACCCACATGGCACAGCAGACCTCTCCTGTTCTGCGCCCCACTCTGTCTCTGGTGAATCCTCTCACTAACCACCACCCTCACCGCCCCCGTACCTCTAGCCTATACCCTGGTTCTTGTATGCATAAATAAATAAAAAATAAATCTTAAAAAAAAAAGAAAGAAAATCCAGCCTGAAGTTTCTGCTTTTAGTTTTGGACTATGTGATGATTGTCCTTGTAAACATGTCAATAAACCCAGCTTGTTATTAATCAAAGCTCAGGCCACTAGTTAAAAACAAAGCAATTAACACTTTCCTGCACTCGAAGGGAATGAAAGGAAACCACTTACCATAGGAGATCAGCAGCAGGAGGAAAGGAATGTTTCTGAACAGGTTCCTCATCGACTGCTTGTAGGAGTATGCTTCGGGGGGGCTGTCTTGTAGAGCCGCCTGGGCCTGACTAGGGGGGTACCGTGGTTTCTCCTTGAATGCTGGGAACAAACAGGACACGGTAACTGAACACAAGCACCTTCCTCAGTGACCAGACTCAACTCAGTGCATGTTCAAAGAACAGTCAAGACAGTGTTTGTCTTCACTGATTGCTAAGTCCGGCCGGCATTACCACCACGGCCCTCTGAAACTGACTAAGCAAGACCCAGCAAGATGTCACAACCATACTCACTGATATTTCTATTTTTAAATAAGGTTAAATGTTATTATCTTTTTTTTTAAAGACTTTTTTTTTTAAAGATTTATTTTTATATATTTATACAAACACTGGGTACAGTCAGAAGTGCGGGAGGGTGAGAGAATTCACCAGAGTCAGAGCGGGGAGCAGAGCAGGCAGAAGGACCGAAGCACACCACTGAGGGGAGCAGCGGGCAGCAGGAGAGGTCTGCGCAGCATGCGGGACCCTCCTCCGGTGGGCGGGGAGCAGCCGGGGATCAAACCAGCACTGCAGAGGCTGCAGGCAGCTTCGCAACCCAGAGCTCAACCGCTGCGCCACCGGGGAGGTCCTTAAATGTTATTATCTTAAGTACTCAACAATTCTGTATCTAAATTCAGTCTGGTTTATAATTAGAGGTGTACAATATGAGCAAGTAAATACATTATTGAACTTTTAGACTTTAGAGGACTGTCTTGGGTTAGTAATTATTTCTGCTGAGACTGGATAGAAAGTTGAACACTGATCCACTTGCACCTCTAGAGCTGAACAGGTGCAGGGATTTGTGAGAGCAGAGCTGGGTCTTTCTTGCCCACTCTTACTGTTATAGGACAGGGAGAGGGGGACCACCCTGTTGCATTACCAACCACATGTGGAACATCGAGGGGCAGAGCTGAGACATCAGAGTGTGACAGATTGGTCCTAAGACTGTGAGCACCAGAACCACCAGTCTATGGCGTGCGAGGCAGACTCCATCGCCTTCTCAGCCAGACAGTTAGACACTGCCCTTGTGCTGGGCAGAAAGAATCTAGCAACTTTGCCTGCAACACACGGCTGGGAGGAGATGCTGACAGGGTGAGGCTAGTCATAACAGCTAGAATCTGCACATCAGAAATTAAAATAGGGACTCCCTGGGGGCACAAGGGATTAAGATGCAACCTATGAAGCTACCCGCAGCCACTGAAGCATAAGTTCAATCCCCGGCCACATGGCGCAGCAAACCTCTCCTGACTCACCCGCTGCTCCCATCAGCAGTGCATTTCAGTGGATTTGCCTGTTCTGCTCCCCACTCTCTCTGGTGAATCCTCTCACAATCCCCCATCTCTGGCTTACACCCCAGTTCTTGCATGTATAAATAAATAAATCTTAAAAAAAAGAAACTAAAATATATTTTTAGGGCTTTCCCTAAATTTAAACTAAAATAAATGGAAAAGACTGCATTTCACTGAATCTGAGATGTTCTGATACTGGCACTCAATGATCTTGCAGGTTCCATAGGAAGTTTCTACCACGTCTGGGTGTCTAGTGAAGTCACACGCATTGAAGTTCTTTTTTTTATAGTGATAAGGACAGAACATGAAATCTACAAGAGCAAGACACAGAGTTGTTGACTGCAGGCACAACCTTACACAGCAGGTCTCTAGAACTTTTTCATCTTAGATACCATTATTAAGGGTGCTTCAAATTCAGAGATTTCATGAAAAAGATGAATACCTTAGACTCAACGAAACAGGGTAAACTGGAAAACCAAAAAAAAAGTAAATGGATTCAGAAAAAAGTAATATTTTCTAAAAGATTATGATTTGTTCTCTCTTTTTTATAGTGGCTATTTTTTTCTTCCAGTAAGGATATTCTCCATCGAACCTCCTAGCCCACCACAATCACGCAGATATTTAAAAATGCAGATTATGAAGTTCTTACCCAAGATTCAATGAGTTAGAACCCCCAGAACAAAACCTGAGAAACTGCATTAAAAACAAAACTCTCCAAATGCGAAGAATACCCAACCACATTTGAAAATCATGGCAAAATAAATGACCCTTAACACCCCCATCTGATGCTGTGCTTCTAATTTTTCTGCTGGCAGCTAAAAATTTAAAAAAATAAAATAAAGTTCTTTGCTGACAAAAACATTGATCAATTATAACTAAGACAGATGTCAATTTTGACATAATTCACAGATACTTATTTTTAATGTCCTTACATTGTAGAGCTGGTGGACACAAACTGTTTTAAGTTGCTGCAATTTCTCGTCTTCCTCCTCCCTATCTGCTCCTGCACTGCTGAGGAAGGCTCTAGTCCTTTCCTGAACGTTTCTGTGTCCTAGTTAAGATAGGAGATATCTCTTTTTATTAATATTGGTGATACAGAACTCATATAGCAGTCAAACAAAGTTTCTGAATGTCAAGGCCAGGCTTACAAGGCAGTTGTGGTATCTAGTGAGTCTTAAGTCTTACTTATCAACAGGTTGTGATTTACTAGGTCAAGTCTTAACGACTCAGAAATGAACTCAAATGTCAAACTGAAACAATTCTCACAAATTTTTCACTCTATTACGTTTACATTCAGAATCTTTCCGTTTCAGATATTTTCCTGCGTTCTTAGGCGGCGCCTGGATGATAGAATGACTCAGGATCACGTGCATGGGGAGAAGAAAAAGGAACTGAAAACTTGGTCTGTGGCCCTGCCTGACTGGACTCCTCCATTCAGAGGAGGAATTAAGGGTTTCCCCACCTTTGAAACTGATCAAGTGCAGCCTCCTCTCCTCTAAAAACCTGCACCACAGCAGACCTCTCCTGTCTCACCTGTTGCTCCTCTCAGCAGTATATTTCAGTCAGTCTGCCTGTTCTGTTCTCCACTCTTTCTCCAGAGAATCCTCTCATCCCCGCCCCAACCCCAGCACTTCTGGCCTGCACCTCAGTTCTCGTATGCATAAATAAATAAATTTTGGGGCCTCCCTGATGGTGCAGGGGTTAAAGACAGCAAGATCAAGCAATTGCCAGCCACTGCAGCACAAGTTCAATGCCTAGCCAGGGAGCAACCCACAAGGCACAGATCTCTCCGGCCTCCCCCATTGCTCCCCTCAGCATTGTTTTTCAGTGGATCTCCCAGATCTATTCCCTACTGTCTCTGCTGAATCCTCTCACCCCCCCCCAATACCTCTGGCTTACACCCCAGTTCTTGTATGCATAAATAAATAAATAAATAAATAAATAAATCTTTAAAAAACAAAAACAAAAACAAAAACAAAAAACCTGCGCCAAAAAAAGGATCAACTCTGACATGGTTAATCTCCATCCTCGGCACCTAAAGAAGCCGAGGATTTTGGGGTGCCACATTCAAGCTTTCTCTCCCATGTGTGTAAAGGGCAAGTCTAGGGCCTCCCTGGTGGCGCAGCGGTTGAGCGCTGGGTTGCGAAGCTGCCCGCAGCCTCTGCAGCACCAGTTCGATCCCCGGCTGCTCCCGGCCACCGGAGGAGGGTCCCACATGGCACGCAGACCTCTCCTGCCGCCCGCTGCTCCCCTCAGCAGTGTGCTTCGGTCCTTTTGCCTGCTCTGCTCCCCGCTCTGGCGAATTCTCTCACCCTCCCGCACTTCTGACTATACCCAGTGCTTGTATAAATAAATAAATAATTAAACAAACAAACAAACACAAATAAATAAATGAATCTTAAAAAAAAATTGGCAAGTCTAATGCTGTTCGGCTCACTTTTATGCTTTGAAATTAGACTATAACACCATCTCCTGATTTCATTCACTTGTCTTTACGTGATGCAAACAGACATTACAAACTTATTGTCAGACAGACTGAGGCCTGAGTGCTAGGACCGCCCAGCTCACTGCCCAGCTACAGAAGGCAAACCCTCCCCCGCCCCCACCACCGCCCCACCACACTTACTTTCTCATTCCTCAAACAGAAACAGCAAGAAGCAGCTGATATGAGGATTACATATGCAAAGGAATTTTCCAATGAAGTGCTACAAACTACACCGCCTTTCTGAGGAATATTTTGAGTATAAGAGACTGTATCTCCAGGGATTGAAGTAACTAAGTAGAATGTATTTCTGTTAGGTTTACACCAGCAGGGCAGGCATCCCGAGTATAAGGATCAGGAGGAAAGCTCCCCGTGTCACCTGCTCAGGGCTTCAGAGCCTTAATAGTAAATATTCCGATGGCTCTTGCTTTTGGCTCCTGTCACCCATTCACATCAGCATGGCAGGCAGGAAGGGCCCCGGCCTAACTGGCGTGGTGTCCTCACTGCTCTGTGGCCACAAGAAGAGGGTTCACACACCACGGCACCCCCACTCAGTCTGATCCAAGCAGGCGAGGAAGGTTAAGGAGATTCAAGCTGGTCTGTTTCCACATTTCATGCGCGTGAGGCTGCCAACCTCACCTCCCGTAGGTAACTTAAATGTGCTCAATGTCTGTGCTGTCCTTACCCAGAACCTCACCCAGAAAATGGAAAGAGTGACACTGCCGCCCCCCAGGGCTGTGCAATGAGCAGGCACATGTAGCTTTAAATGTGCTGGCACATGCCAAGAGACCCAGCGTGGAGAATTAGTGTGAGACCCACAGGAGCCCAGCAGCTCCCAGAGACTTGGGCAACAGCAGTCACCCTTGCGCTCCCCAAGGGTGGTGGGGTGGCAGCCTCCAGGGAGGCTGCAGAGCGTCAACCACCACCTGCCACCAGCTGGGTGGAAGGCAGTGGCTTCCTAAGATTTGTCTGGGCTGAGCCTCCTGGTGGCACAGGGTGTTAAAGACTGTGCTATCAAGCTATCGCCAGCCATTGAGGCCTGAGCTTGATCCCCAGCCAGCCAGAGAGCTACCCACATGGAGCAGCAGACCTCTCCTGGCTCACCCACTCTCCCCTCAGCAGTGGATTTCTGGGAATCTGCCTGTTCTGCTCCCCACTCTGTCTCTGGTGAATCCTCTCACCCCCTGCACCTCTGGCCTACACCCCAGCTCTTGTATACATAAATAAATAAAAAATAAATATTTAAAAAACAAAAGATTTGTCTTGGCTTCCAAAGTAAATCTGGGTAGAATTCAGAGGACAGTGGGACTGCCTCTTAGTAATTATGGACCTTAATGTAAGGCACTTAAAAGTGACCCGGGGGTGGCGCAGGGGTTAAGTCTCAGCACTATGAATCTATCTGCAGCCACTGAAACAGGAGTTAGATCCCCAGCCAGAGAGCTACCCACACGGTGCAGCAGACCTCTCCTGTCTCCTCGTTGCTCCCCTCAGCAGTGTATTTCAATAGATCCGCCTGTTCTGCTCCCTGCTCTGTCTCTGGTGAGTCCTCTCACCATCCCCGCCAAAACACCTCTGGCCTATACCCTAACTCTTGTATGTATAACTAAATATTTAACAAAAATAAGTAAAAGTGATCCTGAGTTTCCTTATTAACTTTAAGGCATGAGGAAACTTCTTAATTGAAATGTCACCACTTCTGGCCCAAGGCTCCCCTGTGGCAGCTGCGCATGGTCCTGCTTTCATTCCTCACTCGTCATCGGGCATCCAGGGCTACAGCCACCATGTCCCATGTACACCCTACTTCTCCCCAATGCCAGTCACCCCACCAACCATGAGAAAGAATTTTGTACAACAGTTCTCACTTCCAATTTCTCAAATAAAACAGGGTGATATGATTGTCAATCTAGCAGCTCATGTCCCCAGGCAGGCTCCGAGGAAACACCCTGTGCTCAAAGCCCTTTCTTTGAAAACTGAGGATTTCATAGATGGAGGTCGGTGGAACTTCCATTTTCAATTCCATTCCAGTAAAAATCAACACAGCACTACATCAAAGCCTAGCTGTAAATCTTAATGATCAAGTAATGGCCTTTCCACTTTCTACTTCCTCCCCTTGGGACATCAATTTAGGATCCAGTGAGCGCCCCTGGGGCATTTTGGCTGGTGTAGCAGCTAGCTCACCCAAATAAACCTTCCTGTCTTTCCCCTGAAATAAAAGTCATTTCCCATAAAAAATAAACTTAAAAAAGCAGACCTTCCCGAACTGTCTTCCAAACTGATGGTGCTGCTGGCAGCTGACTGTGACTGACAGCTTCAAGAGACAGGCCCAGGCGCGGACTCGGGGCGGTGAGGCAGCTGCACGAGGCTGGAGGGGCCTAGCAAGCAGATAGTCCCACAGAATGAGCTTGTGCTGAACGGCTGGCCACTGCCCAGGCCCAGCCCCTGATCAACGAGTTCAGATCCAGTCAACCATTAAATGGGGTCGTTGGAAGGCCTGTCATCCATGAGGAGGGTCAGAGCCATGGGGCATCCCTTCCAGGCCTGACAAGGGCAGGTCTGGCTAGGTCAGTGTAAATGCAGACCGTGGAGAAGAGCATGCAAAGAGGAAGCAGTCATGCTCCAACCAGCTGCTACTGGGAGCAAGAGTTAGTAGGGAGATATATGAGGTGACATGATCTCTCTTCTATTTACAGTATGAAAACAGATGCAGTGGGCACGGCCTCTGCTAGGGCTGTAGCGTTCACCACCTGTGCAAGACCCAGCTCGGCAAGAATAAAATGAGCCAGAGACACCAGAGATAGCAATAAAAATCCTTTGGGTTGGTTATTTTTACGTTCACACCGGTCATGCACTTGTCTATGATTTTGGAAAAATATGCACTTACCGATGACTGTTAAAAGAAATAAAAGGGTGGAGACCGCGGATGTCCCGTAAAACATGTTGCTGATGTTACAAGCCAGGAGATATGTGTCGTTCTGTGTGTTGGGCACCAAAATCGGTGGCAGCAAAAAGCCAATGGCAGTTCCAAGCTGTAAAATAAACAGGTCAATTAACAGCTATTGTTAAGAAGAAAAAGTACATACTGACGACAAAAGACAGGAGAGCCAGTGGCTGTGACGTGTTTTTGTAAAAGGTGCTGTGTACCTTTTTAGTGACATAATGTTGGTTTACATCGTTGTTCATATTTTGGGAGAAAAGGATCCCCCCTTCAGGTGTTATTACCACAGTTCACCCACGACAAAGCACAACAGAGTTCACTACCAACAGAGTGCACTGTGCTCATCCCCTTTGCCCTCCCCCTTCCCCCCAATTCTTAGGGTCACAGCACCCCAGCTACACTAGTAAAGGAAACTAGTACGATGGCTCCCCAGCCAAAGAACATCTCCAATGCTGCTATTGTCTGAATGCGACTGCTATAAAGCTGTAGAAGAGAGTCCTTACTGGACCTCCCTGGTGGTGCAAGGGGTTAAGACACAACCTATGAAGCTGTCTGCAGCCTGTGCAGCACGAGTTCCATCCCTGGCCAGGGAGCTACCCACATGGAACAGCAGACCTCTCTTGACTCGCCCACTGCTCCCCTCAGCACTGTTTCAGTCAATCTGCTCCCCACTCTGTCCCTGGTGAATCCACTCACCCATCCCCACATCTCAGGCCTGTACCCCAGTTCTTATATGCAAAAATAAATAAATCTTAAAAAAAAAAAGAAGATAGTCCTTACCTTTAGATCCTTACAATCAATAAAGAGAATGAGAAATTGCAAAATAAGATAAAAAAAAAGATGACTTACACGATGGTAGAACGTTTTTGCAAACCATATATCTGACAAGTGTCCAGTATCCAGAATACGTAAAGAACTTGCACAACCAACAACAAAAAGGCAGACATCCCAATTCAAACACAGACTAAGGACAGAAACAGACATTTCCCCAAAGAAGATGTACAAATGGCCAATGGGCTAATGAAAAAGGGATAACATCATTAGCCATTAGGGAAATGCAATTTAAAACCACAAGATAACACTTTATACATACCAGGGCATCTATAATTACAAAATTAGAAAGTAACAAGTGTTGGCTAGGATGTTGAGAAGCCGGAACCTTGTGCACTGCTGGTGGGATTGCAAAATAGTTCAGCCTGTGAACTATTTGGCAGAGTTCCTTCAAATTACCAAATGACCTAGAAGTTCCACTCCTAGGTATATACCTCCCGAAATTGAAAACAGATATTCAAACAGATACTGAGTGATGTACATGAATATTCACAGCAATACCACTCACAGTTGTGGAAAGGAGGAAACAACCCCAATGCCTATTAACAGTGGGTGGAATGAATAAACTGAATAAAATATTATTCAGCCCTAAAAAGAAATACAAATGCATCCTACAATGCAGATGGACTTCGAAGACTTAAGTGAAAGCAGCCAGATACAAAAGGCCTTGTATTGTATGACTTCATTTATATGAAAGGTCTTGAATCAGTAAATCCATAGAAATCAAGCAGAAGTTCTCAGGGGCTGGAGAGAGGGGGATGAGGAACTGCTCAGGGGGTTTGCAGTCTTCTTCGGGGTGGGTGACTTGTCTAGAGCTTGCTAGAGGCAGTGCTTCCAACAGTGAAGGCACTAAATGCCACTGAGCTATACATTCAAACAGCTCAGCTAACACGTGAATTTCACATCAGTAAGAGAATAATGAGGCTGAATACGATCATCACAAGAGAAATAGAGCCAGAGTATCCAAGGAGAGTCAATCAAGGGGGAGACCAGATTCTGGGGGGCTGAAGAGGGGGAGGGAAGGACCTCCCTGGTGGTACAGGGGTTAAAATCTCAGCGCTATCAAGGCATGAGTTCTGAGTTTGATCCCCAGGCTACCCACATGGCAGAGCAGACCTCTCCTGTCTCCCCGCTGGTCCCCTCAGCAGTGGATTTCAGTAGATCTGTCTGTTCTGCTCCCCACTGCCTCCTCTCACCCCCTACACCCCAGTTCTTATATGCATAAATTAAATTAATTGATTAATTAATTAAAGGAGGCCAAAAATTGTATTTGTTCCTTTTCCAAAAAACAGGTAATCAGAGTGTCTTGAGTGCAGCACGTGATGGCTGGAGGTACAGTGACCCAGGAGGACACATAAGGGACCCTCCCAACATAACACGGTTTAGAGAGAAAAGGATGCATGGGCAGTTACACTGGGCCACGGAGGCACACCTGGAGTGACCCCGGACAAAGTGGAACAGACACCCTAACTAAGAGTCCTCTGGAGGGGCAACTACTATAGCCTTGGGGTTCAGGGAAAAGTGTCTGGAGGAGCAAAGCCTGAGTAAGAAATGAGAGCCACCAGCCAAGTGAGACTGAAGTGCGCTCAGCAGGACACAGAAAAAGCCAGAAGGAGGGCACGACCTTGTGAGAAACCAGCCAGCCAGGAGAGTGTGGGGCCAGCGGAGTCTGGTGCAGAGTGGGGGTGTGGAGAGGTGAGGGTGGGGCTAACAGGCTCTCCTCTGGCACATTAGAGTCTGACATCCGTCTCACGGTCACAGCAGCCACTGCAGAGGGCTCAGGCCCGCCCCATGAACATGGAGACTAGACTGGATGACCATGGCTATGGGGCCCAGGGAGGAGGGGGAGGTGCAGGCAGGAAGATGAGCCGGAAAGTTCCTATAGAGCTGCAGGTGGCCCCAGTAGAATGGGTGGCGGGAGAGAAAGGAGCTGGGAGACACAGTAAATATCAAATGGTGGGCGCAGGGGCCTCCCCAGTGGCGCAGCGGTTGAGCGCTGGGTTGCAAAGCTGCCCGCGGCCTCTGTGGCACCAGTTCAATCCCCGGCTGCTCCCCGGCCACCGGAGGAGGGTCCCACATGGCGCGCAGACCTCTCCTGCCGCCCGCTGCTCCCCTCAGCAGTGTACTTCGGTCCTTCTGCCTGCTCTGCTCCCTGCTCTGGCTCTGGTGAATTCTCTCACCCTCCCGTGCTTCTGACTGTACCCAGTGCATGTATAAACAAACCATCAAACAAACAAACAAATAAATAATAAATAAACATGCCTCTATTAAAAAAAAAAAAAATGGTGGGCGCAGGGTATCCAACTGGAACCGTCCAGTGTTTGAGTCTGAAGCTCATTTGTGTACTGAGCAAATTCTGGAGTATCTACATGTGGGTTGTTATAAATGTTGGTAACACAGTTGTGTTATATTTAGACTATGTACCTGCTTTCATGAAATTTACAATCTAATTGTGTGGGTGGGAGATGAGTAATCATCACAGAAACCTATAAACCTAAAAACAAAGACACACTGGGCAATTCTGTGTAAAGAATTAAAGTACAGGGGCCTCCCTGGTGGTACAAGGGGTTAAGATGCAGCAGTATGAAGCTATCAGCAGCCACTACAGCAAGAGTTCGATCCCCAACCAGGGAGATGATCCACATGGCGCAGCAGACCTCTCCTGTCTCCCCGCTGCTCCCCTCAGGAGTGCATTTCAGTCAGCCTGCCTGTTCTGTTCCCTATTCTGTCTCTAGTGAATCCTCTCCCCCCATTCCCCTGCACCTCTGGCCTGTACCCCAGTTCTTGTATGCATAAATAAATAAATCTAAAAAAAAAAAAAAAGTACACTGATGTAATTAGAGGACTGGGTAACTGACATGTAATATTAATGTAGCATGTCATATTACTTTAAGGCCTGAGTGACATTAAGGATATATAATGTGATCCCAGAAGAACATTCCAGGAAGAAGGAAGACTTCTGCAAAGGCCCGTATGCAAACAGAAGTGTTATTTTAGGAACCAAAGACATATTTAGGATTCTGAAATCCAGAGTACAGGATTTAGATTTTACCTAAGTCCTACAGGATGCCCTGGGCAGGTGGGGGATGAGGCTCTGTGGGTGCAGAGAAGGGCCAGCACCCAGGTTTCAGACAGATAAGGATGAGTGCTGCCACTAATGAGCCAAATGGCTTTGGAAAGTAATTCCATCCCTTCAAGTCTCATTTTCTGGAACTATAAAACAGGGAGACAAGGAGTCCTACCTGCCAATATTTAATTAAATGACACATGGTTCCCAGTGGCCAGTGAGAGCTCAGTAACACTGAATATTATGGTTGCCACTCCACAGCCTCAGCTGGAGAGGCACCGTGGGGACACCAGCAATTGCCCAACCAAGGCACCAAGGGAGGGATGAGTTCATCGATGGAGAACACCAGAAGAAGGTCCGGAGGTGCACTGAGCACTGGAGGGAAGTCGTGGCCATTTAACAGACATGAAATTGACAATCCAAAGTTATAAGTTGACAATCTAAAAGATGTCAAGCTCAAGCTCGGGCCTCCCTGGTGGTGCAACAGGTTAACCACAGTACTATGAAGCTATCCACAGTCTCTGCAGCACCAGTTGGATCCCCAGGACGCCAGGGAGCTACCCACAAGGTGCAGCAAACCTCTTCTCAATGGCCCGCTGATCCCCTCAGCAGTGTACTTCAGTCAGTCTGCCTGTTCTGCTCCCCGCTCTGTCTCTGGTGAATCCTCTCACCCTCCCGCACCTCTGGCCTGTACCCCAGTTCTTGTATGCATAAATAAATCTTAAAAAAGAAAAAAAAAAAAAGAATGTCATGCTCGGTGAAGCATCAATCTTAAATAAACGGTATACAGGTCAAATGCCTTAAGAAGAAAACATTCCCATCCAAAAATGTAAAAGCAACCAATTAAAATATCAATCACAAATTATTACGCAAACACAACTGTATTTCAAGCTACCCCTTCTGTCCTTTTAGAGAAGGAAGTAAATATAAGGCAATAAAGCATGTAGTCTTTTTGTGGATTTTCAATAAATTCTACTGCAATCTTGAAACAAATGTCAGACTAGAAGGCAGAGATAAGGCAGTTGTTAAGTAGCTACAGGTAGTAGTGATACATTTTAAAGACAGAAGTTAAGTCTTTGTAACAAAGCATCTTAGTTTCTCCTTAGGCTGAATGAACTCAATTTACACACAGAATCAAAGGACTCCAAGTACAGATTTTAAATTATAAGGAATCAGTCTGCCACTCAAATTGAAAAAACAAGTGAACATTCTAAGGGGCAATGCAGCTGGCATGCAAAGGGCATGTGAAACTGTTGTGAGGAAGACACCCAGTGCCTTCATGTGAGGTGGCCAAAAAAACCCCTTTTACAGTAGATTCTGGACCTGTGACTTGTTTTCCTGTTCCTAGTTGGTAACGGGGGAGGTCTCTGAGGTCTTTATCACCAGAACATTGACCTAGCGGTCATCTAAATGACCGGTCAGGCACTCTGCTGACCACTCACAGGTAAAATTAAACTGGGATTGTTCACACTGATCATTCAAAATTGGTTCAAACTTCTCAGAATCCAGCACCTTTTTGCAAAGATGACTCTGGCCACAAAAGTATCTACCCAAGAGTGACTCACGACTGACAAGTTTCCTATATTAGGTCTAGATGGTCTTTACCTCGGTTAACTGTTTGATGGGAAATTCCCAAACCAAGACAGCAAGGCAGTCACTTTAGACTCGATGACAAGTTCTGTCCTTAAAAAATAAATAAAAAACCTTATCAAGGCACACGGGACCCTGCTGACGACTGTCCCGCCCCTCGCCTCAATCCCAGACGCAGGTCTCCCTGCTCCCTCCACGCCAGGCCGCACAGCCGCGGCTCCCCTTTCCGTCACCCAAGTCCTCACCTGATTGCCCAACACGGCGGTGGCACAAGCTGTGGACACCTCCTTGGGCCCGAACCACACCGAGGCGATGCGGGAGGGCAGGCCCAGGATGAACACCTGGGCCACGGAGCACAGGCACTGGCCCAGCATGGTGACCCAGAAGAGGTGCGGCTGCACGCTGCCGCACTTGACCCAGGCGCCCAGGCAATTGAGGCCGGAGCCCAGCAGGGCGCTGAGCCGCAGGCCGCGGGTGGACAGCAGCCAGGTGGCCGGGAGGATGAGGGGCACGTAGGCCAGCATGTACACCACGGACAGCCAGTCGATGTGCAGCGAGGAGACGCCGTAGAAGCCCTCGAACACGTTGCTGATGATGCTGTACTGGATCCACTGGAAGGCGTTCACCAGCGAGTACAGGCTGAAGATGAGCAGCACCGCGAAGCGCCGCGCCGACAGCGCCGTGCGCGGCTCCCGGGCGCCCTCCGCCTCCTCCCCGGGGCCCTCGGGCAGCAGCCGGGCCCGGGTCTCCTCGCCGGGGGCCGACGGGGTCTGCGGCCCGGCCCGGGGGCCCCCGTTCAGGGCCCGGCAGCCGGCGACCGGCCCGCCCTGCGGCTCCTCGCGCCCAGGCACCGGGAAGTAGCCATTCGCGGGCGCCCCCGCCGCCCCCTCGTCATCGTCCGGCCGCGCCATGTCCCGGGCGCCCCAGCGCCGCCCCGGCCCGGGGCCCGCCCGCACCCGAGCCCTCCAGGGACCCGGAACCCGGCCCAGGAGCCCGAGCACGCAGCGCCCGCGAGCAGCCCGCCGGGACGCGGAGCCGCAGGAGAGCGCAGCCTACGCACGCCGGCCGCGCCCCGCCCCGCCCCGCCCCGCCCGCCCCGCCCGCCCCGTCGCGCGCCAGCCCGGCGGCCAATCCGCGGCCGCCTGCGCCGGCGCCGCCGGAGGGCCTCGGCGCGGGAGGTCGGCGAGGCCGCCCGGCGGGCTGCGGGGAGGAGGCGCGCCCGGGGTCCTGACGGGCTGGCGGGCGGGGTGCGGGTGTGGGTTGGAGGCGCGGAGCTCGCCTAGCGGCCGCCCGGACGCCCAGCCGCGGGGCTCCCGGGTCCTCCCGCGCGCGGGCGGATGGCGGACGTGGCCTCTTCCCCTCGCCGCCGCGGGTCAGCGCCGGACCACGCCCTTGCGGCCAGCGGGCCGCGTTTCGTAAGTTAGTGCTGATTCGCCGGGCAGAGGAAGACCAGCAGAAAGCACTCGGGTCCAGATGCAGAGAGTTCGACAGGCTCTGCCCTTGGCAAGCGGGAGTACTCCAACCCACGCTGCAGGGAGCGCCTCGCGGCGGACCCTGGCCCCCAGCCGCCCCCCGCGGCTGGCTTCTGGACGCGCTCCGGCCGGGGCGCGGGGGTCCAGGGACAGGCTGTCGTGGGCTCTGGGGGAGGAAAAGGAAGAGTGACACAGCCCCTGCCCCCAAGAGCGCGCTGGGCCCCAAGTCCACTTTCTTCGCCCCAGGCTCAGGTGACTGCATTCCAGGGGTTCACAGCAATTTACTGAGTGCCTGTGTCTGCCGCCTTCCCGGCTCTCAGAAACCAGAGACTGCCAAATTCTACACGGCCGCATTCCCATCACCCAGTGGGGCTTGGAGAGGCTTCTGTCCGGAGGCAGCTTCCTCGGTATCGCAAGGAGGCCATTCTTTTTGATTGTTCTGGTGCCTTCTTTAGAGGTCGTTTGTTTCCTCTGCGTCCTTTGGGTATCACACAGGCCAGTCAGCATCCATTCCCTCCACATTTTTGCCAGCTGCCTCCTCTTCTTTTTTTAAAAGATTTATTTATTTATGCATACAAGAGCTGGGGTAGAGGCCAGAGGTGCGGGATGGGGGGGGGGGGTGTGACCGGATTCACCAGAGACAGAGTGGGGAACAGAGTAGGCAGATTGATTGAAATACACTGCCGAGGGGAGCAGCGGGTGAGACAGGAGAGGTGTGCTGTGGCACTTATCTTGCTCACCTTGTCACTTGCCTGCCCAGCACATGACAAGCTCTGCAGAGGACACTGTCACCATCTGCAGGAAGCAAACACCAAGGGGGTTTGGAGCATTGGGGAGCATCAGAGGCAGATCACAGGTTCACAAATCTAAGGCGTGCCCCACCCTCCTTAAAGTTACTAATTTGAAAGCCTTTATTTGAATTCCAACCTCTGTGTGTCCTTGGGCAAGTTACTCTTCTGCTCCATAATCTGCTTTATATATATATATATATATTTTTTTTTTTTTAAATAGAGGCATGTTTTATTTATTTATTTGTTTGTTTGTTTTTGTTTATACATGCACTGGGTACAGTCAGAAGCGCAGGAGGGTGAGAGAATTCACCAGAGCCAGAGCGGGAAGCAGAGCAGGCAGAAGGACCGAAATACACTGCTGAGGGGAGCAGCGGGCGGCAGGAGAGGTGCGCCCCATGTGGGACCCTCCTCTGGTGGCCGGGGAGCAGCCGGGGATCGAACCGGCGCTACAGTGGCCGCGGGCAGCTTCGCAACCCAGCGCTCAACCGCTGCGCCACTGGGGAGGCCCTCCATAATCTGCTTTGGAGGATGGTCAGTGTGAGGTTTAAATAAAAGGAGGATCAAAAAAGATAAACTCATGCAATTTGCAGCAACATGGATGGAGCTGGAAGGGATCATGCTCAGCAAAATAAGCCAGAAAGAAAAAGAAAAACACCGGATGGTCTCACTCATAGCAGGAATTTAGAAAACTTAAATAAGGGACCAGGAAAAAGCCTAATTATAATAAAGTAAAATTCAAAATCAACAAGCAACTATAAACCAGAGACACCTGGGGGTGGGGGGAGGAATTAAGGTCAAAATAAGGGGGGGGTGGGAATTCTATGGGGAATATTGTTAGGGGGAAAAGATGAAAATGCATACACTGTGCAAAAATGAAAAATTATGTAAAAAATATATAAAACAAAATTTAAAAAAATAAATGAAGGGAGGAGCCTGGCACATGGTTTAGGGGAGGGGCACACCCTCCCTCCCATATGTTTTTGGAAAAAATGTTTATTTCATGGGAGGGGCTTAGAAGGATAGGTGGAGGTTGCTTTTTTTTTTTAAAAAAGATTTATTTATTTATGCATACAAGAACTGGGGTACAGGCCAGAGATGCAGGGGGTGAGAGGATTCACCAGAGACAGTGGGGAACAGAATAGGCAGACTGATTGAAATACACTGCTGAGGGGAGCAGTGGGTGAGTCAGGAGAAGTCTGCTGTACCTTGTGGGTAGCGCCCTGGCTGGCAGGGGATCAAACTCCCACTGCAGTGGCTCTGGATAGCTTAGTAGGTATCATCTTAACACCTTGCACCACCAGGGAGGCCCTGGAGGTTGCTTTTGAAAAAGACATTTATGTGGAAACCTCTCTGTAAGGGCTTATACATGAAGGCCTACCCAACCTCCCACCCCAAGAAAGCAGAACTTAATCTGCATACAAGAACTGGGATACAGGGCCTCCCCGGTGGCGCAGCGGTTGAGGTTGAGCGCTGGGTTGCGAAGCTGCCCGCGGCCTCTGCGGCGCTGGTTCGATCCCCAGCTGCTCCCCGGCCACCGGAGGAGGGTCCCACATGGCGCGCAGACCTCTCCTGCCTCCTGCTGCTCCCCTCAGCAGTGTACTTCGGTCCTTCTGCCTGCTCTGCTCCCAGCTCTGCTCTGGTGAATTCTCTCACACTCCCGCGCTTCTGACTGTACCCAGTGCATGTATAAACAAACAAAAACAAACAAATAAATAAATAAATAAAACATGCCTCTATTAAAAAAAAAAAAAGAACTGGGATACAGGCCACAGGTGCAGGAGGTGGGGTGGGGGGTAGGGGGCAGTGAGAGGATTCACCAGAGACAGTGGGGAACAGAACAGGCAGACTGACTGAAATAGACTGCTGAGGGGAGTAGTGGGTGAGTCAGGAGAGGTCTGCTGTGCCATGTAGGTCAGCTTCCTGGCCAGGGATTGAATTGGTGCTGTGGTGCCTGCAGATAGCTTCATAGTGCTGCCTCTTAACCCCTTGGACCACCAGGGAGGCCCCTAATCTGCATGCCTTGCTTAGTAAATGCCTTCCCTTTTCTTCCCCCAACCTCCCTTGTCAAAACTTAGTCACTGAAGTTGGAGCTGAAGCCATTTGGAGGGTTTCTCAATTTTACTGAGTCTCTCCCTGCATATAGGAGGTGAGCATATGGTCATCAAACTTCCTTTTGGCTTTTTTCTCATCAGTTTGTCTGCCGGTTTATTTGCCAACTTAGAAGATCCCAGGGGGGACGAGGAAGATTCCTTTTGTGCAGCTCTTGGCAGTGGAGACACTAACTCACCAGCTAGGGCTGAATAATACTTCCTGTCATGTGTATGATGTGAAACTTAATCTCTTCCAGAAGGCAATTGCTAGAGGTATCACATGGCTGGGAGTCAAGATGGGATTGAGCTACATTGTGGGACAGAACTGCCAATTCTGAGATTTGGATCAATAACAAGTTAGTGATAGGAGATTAGAACAGCACCCAGGAGCCAAAGTCCAAGACGATCATAGGAGTGATGTGGCTGGTCCCGAGCAAAGGTTTCTCATGGTCTAGGAAGGTGAGCTGTGAGATTCAGAGTGGATCATGGGGAGGGGCATAGAACCTATACCCCTGCCTTTACCTTGCACCACTGTTACCGTGAGTAACAGTATCTAAGTACCTTTACATGTTAGGGAGTGCCCATTACCATAACAAAGTGCTCTGTGGGAAGCTGGGAATGAAGGGCTAGAGGAAGCTGGAAATGAGACTCCTTCCTTGTCTTTCCCCCTATGGAGGCACAGTTTATGGATATGTTACATTCCTGAAAAAAGAATTACAGCAATGGGTCTCCTTTGTGGCACAGGGAGTTAAGTCACAACCTATGAAGCTATTAGCAGCAACTGCAGCATGAGTTCAATCCCTGACCAGGGAGCTACCCACATGGTGCAGCAGACCTCTCCTGTCTCCCCGCTGTTCCCCTCAGCAGTGTATTTCACTACATCTGCCTGTTCTGCTCCCCACTCTTTTTTTGGTGAATCCTCTCACCCCCCACACCTCTGGCCTGTACCCCAGTTCTTGTATGCATAAATAAATCTTTAAAAAAAACTTCCAGCAGCTGACCTCTGAAGAGAGAAGCCGAGCGAACAGTTTTACAGGGACCTAGAAGCTGGGCCTGCCTCTGCAGCAGTCGCCTGGGAGGGCACACCGAGGGCCCCCTGCCTGGTAGGTCACTGAGCTGGAAATGAGACTCAGTGACCTACCAGGATCCTGCAGCACTGCCCTTGCTACTGCAGCTACCACTGCCTCCTGGTCCAGTGCCCAATGCTGTCCATCCTGACCTTCAGGCTAGGGTGGGAGAGGTGGCAGCGTCTCAGGGGCCTCCTATTGGTGCCCTCGGCTACACTGCGCTCCAGGCCCTCGGGGGCGGGATGACACCACAGTAGAGAAGCAGCATTCTGTTTGGGACTCTGGGGACATTGCCTGAGACAGTTGCCATTGTGGCCTTGGACACTTTTTGTTTCCAGTTTGTTAAATAAACCTTATTGTTATTATTCCTTGAGTCTGAGTGGTCTTGCCATCGTGGGTGAAACTGATACTGGGCAATTAGCCAGTAAATGCAAGACCACTCAGTCTCAGAGATCAATAATGGGATTTATTTAACATGGGGAAACAAAGAG